TCAGCAATTTAGTTAGTAGTTAAATTTTTTTTTTATTTTAATTTAAGGAAAAGTTTCAATTAAAAATTTTGGCATGCTACTCAATACTCAAATGATTGGCTTCAACCACCAAATTAGTGATTTTCAACATTTACATAATTGTGATGCCTTATTATGCTTCGATTTTTGTGATATTCCTGCTCTCACTTACCTACTCTCATTGTTCTGTGGCAGACAATTAATATTTAAAATAGTTTGAGAGTTTATGAAACAAAAACTAGAATGCTACAAAATTAGGACTTAGAATTGTTGCATGGAGTAAAATTGCTTTTTTTGTGTAAAAGCAATTCTTTTAACGTGGTGAGATGAAAACAACATTTGATTTGATATACTAAGTAAATAAATTTATATAGGTGACTCTTATTAAATTCTGGTGTATTTACTGGAGAATACATTTGAAAAATTAGATTCGATCATGCAGCAGTCTTCCCCACCAACATGAGTTGATTAACCAGCAACTCAGATTTTTCATTCTTTTGGTCATAAGTCATCCTCTTAGAATAATGATTTTTAAATTAAAGGAGAGAAAATTCAAGGAGAAAAATATCTCTAAGTGGTCTGACATTCATATATATGGGAATGGGAATCTCAACCAGTTTTTCAGCTAAGTCCGTGGTGCTTTGCCAAGCTCACTGGAGTTAAACCTGTACTCATACACCCTAGATTATTATTAATAGTTTCTTCTGTAATCAGATGAGACTTAATTTTTTATGGTTTCAATAAAACATTGAAGTAATTGCATAGTTTCATTCACATATAGCCGGTTCCCAAATGGCAGGGTGTATCACAAAGTAAGTAACAGTGATTTTAGGAAGAACATGGCTAATTGCCTCATGTTCTTCCCCTCATGTCAAGGGGTGAAGATCCTTTTCAGAGGTCAGTCTTTCTCTGCCACTCTTTAGGTCACCATTAGATGTGACTGATCCTACTTCAGTTCATCCATATTCCCTGGGCTTGCTCTGCAACATAGGGTTTAGATCCACTCATATCGATCTCATTCTGGTCAGATCTCTGTCTCTGTTTTGGAAAGAATTTCTCTACTCCTCTTCCCTCCCCCACTCTGGACTCAGAGACCCAACACTGGAGGTCCCAGACATACTCTCAGTCTCCCAAGAAGCCTAGGGTACAGTTTCCAAATCAGGATTTGCTTCAGAATCCTCTGGGGGCACTTGTGAAAACTACAGGTCTCAGGGTTTACATAATTTGGTTGAAATCTTTTCAGCTGCAAAAGGTATGATGGAAGAATAACCAGAAAGCATTCATTTATTCAACAAAAATTTTTTCATAGAAAAGCTACATACTTTGTGCCTGGCTGTGTGCTAGGTGCTCAAGATCCAGAGGTAAATAGAAATGAGTTTTGCTTTTAGGGAATTTATCGTCTAGTGGGAATTAAGTGGGAGAGACGAATGGGTAAAGAGAGGTGATACAACACCAAAGAGGGAGAATTTAACTCTGCTCATAGAGGTGGCCAGGGACAGGAGTTTGCTGGGTGGAGAAAGGCATTCAAAGCAGAGACATTAGGCTGTGCAAAGGTATGGGGATGTGAGAGGGCCTCGTGCGTATGGGAAATTATGATAAGACATGAAGTAAAAGTGGCTATTAAGTGGTGAAGGAATAACATAAGAAAATTTCCTGGGATTAAAAGACAAGAGTTACAGATTGAAAGAGTTCTCTGAGTGTCCTACCAATGAATGAAAAAGATGCAGTCCTAAGCCTATCCTATTAACACTCAGGATTCCAGGGATGAATAGAGGATCCTAAACGCTTTCAGAGAGGAAAAAATAATATAAAAAGGATTAGTAATCAGAGTAGCTTCAGACTGCTTGATAGCCACATTAGAAACTAGAAAAAAATGAAGTATAATACTTTCAAAATTATGTGGAAAATTATTTCCTACCTAGAATTGCATACCCAGCCAGACTACCAATCAAGACATTTTAGGACATGCAGATTCTCAAAACATTATGTTCTTTGTGCTATATTCAGGTAGCTAATGGGAGATGTGTGCTGTCAAGATGAAGGAATCAACCAAGAAACTGAAGACAGAAAATCCAAGGACAGGGTTTTCCACAGAGGAAAAAGGTGAAGGAAATTCTTAGGATAGTGGTGAAGGGAAGTCCCAGTCTCAGTCAGGCCTGGAGAGCAGCATTCCAGCCAGATTGAATCAGGATGAAGTGTGTAGAAGGGATGTCTCCAAGAAAAAAATAGAACCAAAAAGAAAAAAGAGAAATTACCTAATGTTTTTACTTTATTGAGAGGAGTTTTGCAGTTCTTGGGAGAGTTTGATGAGGTGAGTAAGAGTTAGGGGTATAATAGGCTAAGCAAATGACAAAAAACAAAAACAAGGCAGCTAACTCTAGGAGAAACAAAAAGTTATCCAAGAAAGGAAATATAATTATTGAATCCTACTTGGCACTGCTGAGAATAATACTTTATCAGACTACTGTAAGCCCTGAATATTGACTTAACCAAATGTTGCAGTATAGTTAGATACAGGGAGCACTGGATAAGTGTGACATATTTGTACACATGGAGGTAAAGGTTGGTATATGAGAACTAAATCCTTATCTTCCACAGGAAAAGTTAATAGATAATATTTAAAATGGAAAAATTAAGAAGTAGCAATATAGGCACATTATTTAGAAATATGGAGTTAAATATCAGAAGAAAATGCTAAAGGAGTTGAAATTAGTTGCCTCTGGAGAGTGAGAATTGAGTGTGGGGAATACTAGGGCAGGGACTTCTGTTTTTTATTTATAAGCTTTGTAGTTCTATTTCATTTTTTATGCTTTGATAAAAATAATTAATAAAAATATGTAGCTAGCATTTATAATTCTGGGAGAATCTTGCCAATGGTGTTTTACATTTTGTTGAACAAGCTTTTTAGCTTTCCTACTCAATGTGCCTACCTTTAACACTGTCCTAAATTTTATCCAAACTTTCTTCTTTTCTATATTTAACTTGATATGAATTATAGCAGAAAAGTTGGTAAAGTAAATTATTGATTCAGATATTTTTATAGACTGTGTCTGGATACTATGGTTCCCCGCACCCCATATTTTTATGTAGACTCTCAACTGTCCTCTAAACTTTAGAGGATAAATAACTCTTCGTCTTTCTTGCTCTCTCTTCAAAGTGCAACAGAGTTTGACTTCACGTAAGAAATCAGCATTCTTCAGTGACCTGATTTTCCTAAAATGGGATGGCTAGTCAGCTGCATATTAAGATCTCTCAGCTAACTATATACATCACTCAGCAAAGCCTCCAGTTGTTTATGGAGAAATTTTGCCAATTTATATAGATACAAATTGTCCTCCTCTACCTTTTTATTTGGAGAAAAAAAAAAAAAAACCTCAGAGAAAAATGGAAAGAGTAGAAAAATGCCCATATGTCTTTCACCTAGATTTGTCAGTTAACATTTTGCCACA